ATTTTTTTCCAATGTTTTTCAACGTTATGTTTTAAGTTGGCTTTACTCACTGTTGTTTATACAAACACTGTCACCTTGAGTCCACGTGAAATCTTAAAGTGTTTTTCTTAACCACACTTACCAGTTTGATAAACTGAGTAAAAATGGTTCGGACTGAAGACCTTTGGTCTCGAGGGAAATTCCACATCACCGTGGAGACCGGCTTTAAAGGGTCAGCAAATACAGGTAAAAGCCTGGTACACAGTACTGAGCTGTATCTTGATGCACATGTATTTGGAGCACGACTGTGCAGAACAGAGAATCTGTCTTCAGTTCCCCTTCAGAGTCTAACTGTTAGAAAACGTGTCCGCAGAGAGCTTGACCTCCACGTGCATCTTTACAATCATTACTAAAAATGTGAGTCTCTTTCAAAACCATAATCACACATTGTCTCACGGTGGAAGCCAGTCAATCCAAATGGAACAAAATTACAATAAAACATGGCTCTAACTGTGAAACCCTTTCCACTTTTATGACCCAACTGAAGGCAATTAAATCTTAAAAAGACACTAAGGGGAAGGGGACAGTTAAAAGAGTAGACACCTGAAATTACACATAAGACCGGTCTATTTGTGGGGAGAGAAAGGATGCAATCCTATATTGCCTAGGGGAATGGGACATGTATAGGATTTGGGTCACATTTCCCTTCCACAGAAACAAGGCCATCAGTTCTTTTTAAATAAGGGACTAAAGCATGTCGAGGTGTTGAATGCCAAGCGTGCAGTTTCCACAAACACTGTTATTCACTATGACTTAGCATTTCTGCCTTCATATAGTTACTCTATGCAACAGTGATAATTAAGTAAAGTGTTCGGTAATCTCTCAACTTCAGTCATCACACAAGGTAAACACTTCTCCTTCATTGATTAATGAACAATTATGTAACTCCCTCTGTTAGCTATGAGTAACAGAAGTTGTGCACATTCAGCGCACGGAGAGTGAGTGAGAGAGTCACTGAGGTAGAGAGAGGTATTGAGACAGAGTGAAATGATTCATTCCTCATTTGAGGACTTTGGTCACAGACAGCACCTGCAGCTAGTATATTCAACACTGCTTCAACCATTCCATCCATCCAGCACTGTCACTTCCGCTTTGGTAAATTGTCTTCAAAGTAAAAGCACACTGTTTATTTTCTTGCTATAATGCTTTACATCGAGTAAAATTAGACAACTCATATTTAAGTATTAAAGATGTGAACTTTATGTATGAAAAAATAACAGGTATAGCAGGTAAGTCAAAACTCTGTTGCAGATAAACCAGGTAGGATGAACACTGTTTTCTAACTTTACTCCAACACAGACTGTTTATAAAATGTACATTTCAGGCTTATTTAAGGAGTGCTCATGAATGACAAGGAATGATTATGAAGTAGCTCCGGAGCATTAACAGCCAACCCCAAACAGGCAGATTTACAACAGGTGCTGCACAAGTATTTAACAATAATATTTCTTTCAGTAGCTTCCATGTCATGTGACCCCATGCAGGTGTTGTGGTTGTGTTTCTGGTAATCTGGCATGTTCAGAGCTTATTTTACGCACCACATTATTAGACCTGCTAAGCAGAGACATATAAGAGATCAACAGCTTCTTCTCGCAGCAGGCAGATAAACAGCCTTTGTATTGAGTGCATGGCTCACTGATGAAGAGCTTACATCATAGAGAGATTGTCTATTGATGAGCCAGGGCCACTTGAGCTGCGCAGGCGTGCACACTGAAATCACATTAGCCCTCTCTCTATACAATAACAATGTTATTGCAAACCTTAATGGGGGGTTTATCGATCTGCCGCACAGCTGCACGCAAACAACTCGGGTGTGCGCGCTCTGTTCCCGGGTGCAAAGCTGCTGCTGCACCGTGCGCGGCGACCAGGCTGCAGGAGCAACATTCCCTCACAGACTGCTGCTGCAGGAGGGCGCACCTCACTCAACAACACACACTAGAAAGAAATAGGCCGAAAGAGACTGTCTACCTTCTCATAAACAGCCCGATCCGACGCCGCCATGTCCCCGGGAGTCTTCGGTGCCAGATCGAGAGAGGACCGAGGAGGAGGAGGGTGAAGAAGAGCCGCCGACCTGCCGACCGCGTCCTTGTTTGTTTCCCCACAGCGCTGCCGCTGTCAAAAGTCCCCCACCACTTCCATACAAAGCAGAGCCACGGCGGTCACACCCGCAGGAAGTGACGCCATGACCGACAGCTGGTAGAAAGGGGAAAGCCGCACCCCCCTGACACACCTATTGTCTCAGCCAATGGAATCAGCGGCTCCACGTGGAAAGGACGCCCCCTCACCATGGTGACAGGACCACAGTGTTGGGGGAGGTCGCGGGAAGAAAACAGTGCTTTTAACAAATGTCCCAAGAAATCAGAATGAAAAGACAACAGTGAGGTGCTGCTGCAGAGCTGAAAGATACAGGCGTTATTACGAGGAGAGGATCAGAGACACTGATTCTGAACTGAGTGAATACAGCCTGCTGATATTAGCACCTGACCTCATATGACCCTCCTCACATCATCATCATCTTCTTCCTCTCTCAGTTCACAACATGTGATTCACTTGAATAAAGCTCTATTGGTACAATATATGACAACATAACATTTTGCATTAACATAAACATTATTAGTGTACACACAATGGAAACATATTTCAACATGTACTTTCTGAAATTGCTTCAGGAAAAAAGTCTCAAATAGAAACAAAATTAGAAATTCTGGGTCATTGAAGGTCATTGATTTGATATTACCAAGTTGTTCATTTAACTGCCTCATTTACTGGCGAATAGTTCAATTATTAACAATACATGCACTTTTTAATAAACTGTATCGGAAATCTTAACCTGAAAAATAAATGTAATGCAGAAAGAAGTGATAAATGTTGCTGTCAAATATATTGGGATAGAAGTAGGAAGTGAAGTACTCAAATAAAGTATTGCAATATTGAGCAGATGCAGTTTTTCTTTTACTAATAGTGGCACAAGTCAAACAGTAACTGTGAATTGTACAGTGGTTTCTACGGTAGTGCAAATGATGCATATATATAGACAAACACTGAGTGCATAAGTAAAATAATTATAAAGTAAAGTAATAAGTTACTCTTTATACAGAGGTTATACACTGACAGACTACGTGCACAGTATATTCAATCTGCCATAGATCACTACTATAATGTGCAAGGTTATAGATATTCTAACAGCTTTACCAAAGAGGATTTGAAAGACCACTTCTTTTTAAAAGAGACATTTGGTGCATTTTTGGCAAGAATTTAATCGTTTCATCGCACAAACCTACTTTGGCAGTTAAAAAAATCACCCCCCAGGTTTTAAAACATAAAAATTCTTTGAATGATAAATTGGAGTCTGATATGATTTTACCACAAACAAAAGTAGAGAACCTATGAATATGAAAACGAGTTGAGATGTCACAAAAGCATCCCTCCAGTAAATGAACATGAAAACATCCATGTAGCATCAAACTGCATGCACATCCATTGGGCTGCAGTGAAGCTGAGTGAGTAATAAGCAAATCATGCCATATGAAACTACAGAGTTGAAGTGAGACAATATTTCTCAAATCTAAAAGAATCACATCTTTGAATTTCCAAATACAGCAGCTGGAGAAAACATTGTCCTCTACACCCACCAGGCCGAGCTGTTAGTTTCCAATCAAACTGATGCAATTATCCACCCATTAATAACACAGATCTGTTTTCTCAGCTCATGCCAGCTGCTGCGTGTGCGACCCCCGTGTGTCGATTGCATCTCTGTGCTTTGCTGTTTCCTCATCCAGTTCCACATCCCAGCTCTCCATCACGGTCTTTCCACATCTCTGGCTAAACAATGTGGCCGTCACACTTGCGCATGGTTCACGGCCTGGAAGCAGACACTGGCAGTTCTGCAACAATCATGGGGCCACAAGGAAACCTTCATAGCCTCCATGTACACTCAGTGTATTCAGATTATATACTACAATACACACATACACATTTAAAAATAAATATTTCCTATGACTTTATTAATGCCTTTTCATGAAAGCATTTTATTGTTGGATATTAAACTAGCCAGGGGGAATGAATGCATATTTTATAAGTTTGTCAGTCTTAACTTGTAAAGTAAACATTAACTACAGCTTTAAAAAGTAGAGTCCAAAGTACAACAGCTCCCTCTGACCTTAAGATGACTTGTACTACAGAGAAAGAATCGACAGTCTTTTCAATCATCTCAGCACGACAGTGGATCGGACACCAGAGGATCCACCTGAATGTTCAGCCGTCCTCCACCCAGCTAAAGTGTCCTGACACCAAAAACACTTAGTTCATCTCATGGTGGATCAATATCACCACCACTTCACCTTATCACACACAAAATCCCAGGGATTGACTAGTAGACTCATGTTCAATGTATCATAAACATCTGTCCTTGCACATTTGCTGACTGAGTGATGTAAGAATTAGAGACTTGGAGACAGTATTGGTCAAGATGGAGGCAGTTTTGACTACTTCATGTACTAATAAGCATGTGAGTTCAATCTTGACCTGTGAAATAATAATGTAATTAATGGAGTCAATGTCCAAAACACCAGAGCTTGGAAATAACAGTTAATGAAAGAATCCTGAAAAAGCAAGTAAGTGTTCCCTCAACCCGTTGACATGGTAATTTATAACAAAAGATCATATGTGATAAACCTCAAAATCATATAGAGTTCTTCTGAATAGTAAATATAATCTTTCAGCAGTAAAAACAGTAAAAAGGACATTTACTGATGAAATGCAACGAAGTTGAAAGTGGCCTAAAATGTTCATAAAGAGCATTACAAGTAACGTTCTGTACATGACTTGACTAATTCTACTTAGTTACACTCCAGCATTGTAGTGGTGGTAGTTGTAACCATTCCCTGTGGATTATTTAAAGTTTTGCTAAAAATAAATCAATGCAAAATCCTGCAAATGTTGACCCACACAGACGCCAGCTGCAGTGTTCCTGGTTTATTTCTTCACGGGAAGAGAACATGGAGAAACATTAGATCCCTGCAGATATGACTTCTTGCAACACGACCCATGAGAGCAGACAGAAAGAGGCTGCAGCAATGGGTGAAGGTCAAGACCTTTTGTCTGGACAACAGCAGGTTCCTCCAGCTAAGAGGAGACACAGGGAGCATTTCCAAATCTTCATTTTATAATGCAACTGCCCCATCCACTTACAACACGTCGGTCCCTGACCGAACCGTGATGAAACCGGCCATGAAGAAACTAGAACTTGATAAAGGGCTTCATGATCATGAAATGCCCACTGCTCCATTCTTACCTTTGTGAAAAAGCCAGCCTAAATATACTGTGATACAAACACATGTTTCGTTTTAATGATATATTAGAATGTGGTCATCTTTGACAGTAAATAAACTGTAACTACAATATTTAAATGCCATTAAATGTTACTGGTTGCGTATAAAAGTCATAGTCTTTGGTTGTCATGGGAACTAGGATGCTCTTCTTTCAACGGGGTTATAATTGACCCACTGAAGTTCAGTAAGTGGGTCAATGCCCAGGTTCAACAGCAGACAGGCCTCTGCTGCCACCTGCTGCTGGAAAACTGCAGCTACGGGTCACTTCACATGTACTGCAGAGAGCTATATGTAATTTAGTTTTTTTACCTACGGCAAAAAACTGTTTGATTAATGACATAATATAACATTTAATTATTTAATATTCATAAATGTATTAGATCTATCCATGCATCATTCCATCACTTATCTATTCTGCTTATCCTTCCGAGGTTCACAGGTGGGAGCTGGAACCAACTTCAGCAAAACTGATTCGATTTTAGACTAAATCAGCAGTTTTGATAATTGAAGGAATTTTCGTGCCAAAGAAACTGTCAAACTAATTGTTGTCAAATGTAAGAATCTGCTTATTTTTCTGTCTTGCATGATAGTTCACTGAATATATTGACTGTGTAAAATTGGTTGAACCAAATGGACATTTTGCACCGTTCTCCAACCACATGAATTAGTAACAGAGTAACAATGAAAATAATCTCTGTATACACAGAATACAAAAGAAAAACTGTTAAAATATAATGTAGAGAAACATTAGACACACTGTTGATGGAGAATATTGACTGAGCATCCACTAGGTGGCACCTTTGCTTTATTTGCGTCTGAGGCCTACTTGCTGTTAATGATGTCACTCTGGTGACTGACTATATTAAAATACCTTGTTTCTATGTGCAGAAGAATCTTAATATGAATATGGAATAAATATTAGTGCTATAAAGAATCAATTTGATTCCTCTTTGCCATATTTCATACTGAATAACACATTTTATGGTTTTAGAGGCACAGGTTAATGCTAGTGAATCTATATCAACGCAGGCTTAATGTTTTGTATTTTAGTGAATGCACTCAGTGGTTTATTAGAGAGGCCTGCACTCATAGAGCCTTCAATCTTCTCCACTTACATTCGATCAATAACACTATTCCATCCTTACAGCTATGACATCATATGAAGGCTTATAAAAGCGCTGCTCTGAGAGTCATTCTTTTGCATTTCCTGGCAAGTTTAGATAAATAAACAGTATATTGAATTGAATTGTGACTCATATGTTTCAGACTGAGTCTCAAAAGCATTTCATTAGTTTCTTCTTGCTTGGGAAGATCCCAGGGTGGATGTCGAAGCTGTGTGCGGTGTGATTTTCGGTGAAGCAGCGAGGCAGGAGAGGAGGGATGGCTTTTAGAGATGCAACCCCAAAGACAGGAAGCACACAGATCCATTGTCTCATCAGGCTTAGTATTCAGCTCGCTTTGCTCTATCACCAGGGCCAAGGCTCAAATCAGTTCAATATGGTGGCTGGCAGGGGACAGCTACACAGTGGGTGTAGCCTCATAAACAAATACTCCCAACTCTGGACACAAGGGAAACGGTGCAGTGGTAGATTTGTATTTTCCCACGCTGCAATGCTGCTCTGGAGATGCACCGTCACATAATCCTTCTCATTGTGTCAGACATTTACAGGATACGTGACCCGTCAGGCACATCAGGTGTGATCGTTGTGTGTGAAACCATGTCATGCAAAGTGAGGTCAGGTGTGTACAATAGATTTTAAATGTGTATGAAGATGGATATCTATAATAAAAACATACTAATATGATGTTA